CATGAAAGCTCATCATATTGATGAGCCAAAAAAAAAAAAAAACCAAACATTTCCCCTCTTCCTTGTAATTGAAATGGCACATTACAGCTTGTCACAGCTTTTCATTGGGACCTTTTGACTGTTTCTTCATTAGTTCATGTCGTGCAGGCCTCCGAGATAGAACTTTCCGACACGGTTCCAACTCGAATTCTGCTTTCGCAACCCCTACTCCCCCTTATGAGTTTCTGCCTCCTGCAGGGAAACAGTGTCCTCACCAGTTCCTATGCTCACTGACTGCCCTTTTGGGTTCATTCTCTTTTTGGACTTCAGATGGGGCAGATTTATGTTTTTACTTTTTAATCCCAGTGTAGGTTGTGGACACCGTTGTTCCCTGTCTAGTGGGTTTGTAAACAGAGAGAAACAAAACATTGTGGTTCACCAGAAAAGCTTTTGTAATGCGGTAATAAGAGACTTTAAAGTCCACGGGACGTTTTGCTAACTCCTTTTCTTTCTTCCCATTTCATTATTATTATTTGGGGATTTATATTGTGGTGATACTTTTTTTTATTTTAGTTTTTCAATAAGATGCTCTTGTGTGTTGAAAAAGTGAAACTATTGTTTTGTACTGTTCTTTTCTGTTACTATTTAAGGGAGAGCTAAGCCACTATATATAATAGATGTTGCATACAATTTTTCTTAGAAAATTATATGTTTCTGTGGCTACAGTAAAGTGTAGGAGGCATACAGGTTACACCTTCAGAAAAATTGATGAGGAAACAGCTGTTAGCCCTTGGAATAATAAAATAGGCTCATGTAATGAGCTCTGTCAGCCATTAAAATAAATCTGTATAATAAAGCAGCTCTCATTTAATGGCTTGATTCAACAAGCCATTTAAGCACTTGCCTGACTTAACGACATGTGAATAATCTTACTGAAGTCAATGCAACTATTCATGCTTAAAGTTGAGTACATTTTTAAATATCTTGCTGAATTAACGGCCTTAAATAGAAAATTAACTTCTAACCCTTCCTGTCCCTGTTCTGTTTCCTGAAGTCTTGCAGCATGAAGAAAAAAGGTAATATTGCCAGCTTTGAGTAGTTTGGGCTGAAGGATATTGTATTCTGTTCCACCAAAATAAAAGCAAGAATGTGTTTTCCTGTGTGTAATTCTGAAGTACTCCTACTGTAACCATAACTCACATTTTGCTTTGGATGTTTTCTGATCATTTGGGCCTTTTGTGTGAAAGATGAGTTTTTTTACTTCGTTATTAAATCATATGGTATATTCTTGTCCAGCAAAGTTGGAATTTGGGTCACTGAGAAGAGTGACCAGGTCACTTTCTTTATAAATTCCCCAAATTGTTCTATTTCCTTTATAGTTTACTGATAGATAATTTCTCACTTGCTTTTTCTCCTGTAGGATAAGGAGATCTAAACCGCACCATTTAAAAGAAAAAGGGGAAGAAGCATTTAATGTAGCATGAATTGAAAATGAAAACCCAGGTTGTAGCACAAAAGCAACTATGAAATTATTCAAATAGCAAAACAGTCCTTATTGCCTCTATTTTAATGAAAAACTCTTTACTGGGAGTCAAGAACATAGTTTTACCCGTTGTCTGTTGTTAAGCATTGTTGGTGACATGCGGTTGGAGCAGGGAGGTGCTTTGCTTCTCCTGACAGCCTGTTGGAAGGAACAGCTTGGATTACTTTTCTGGAGAGTGAAAAGGGCTCATGACTAGCTGTGGCACGGCATTTATGATTTCTCTGGATTGTCCACTCATGTCTTTTTGCATTCTGTTTTGTTTTTTCTCCTTAGTTATGGGGGTTTTTTTTAACCATGCACAAACCTATTGCTGCACCCCTTCTTAAGCAGCTCACTAACAGAAGTATAGCATGTTTCTTAATACCTACCACACAATTGTTTCTGCATCACGAGGTCTGGGGAACTCCTGTATTTTCAAATAAATAATCTGCATTTTGATTCTTGGATCTTTTTACGCCAAGATACTGATATTTAAAATATTCTTTTTCACACAACCTTGCAGCATAAAGCTGCTTTGTTGCCAGCATCAAGGAAATCAGTAAGGTGTCTTGGTCAGCAAGGGTCTACCTGTGGAGAAACGGGTGTTACTTCCCAGTCCCACACTTCATGAGGTCTGTGCAGAGTCTCACGTGGAGGTGCTTTACCTAAAATGAAATCGATGGTGCATGAAGATTCAGAAAAATAGAATAAGCATTGTTTCTTTGGGGTTTAGGTGTGGTACGCAGTCACCTACAGCATTCTAAAAAAATCTGGCAACTGGTACAAATGTTATTTGAGTTGGAAGTTTTGCCTGTATGTTTATAGTGAAGAGGAAAACAGTACTGTGAACCACTAACAGAACTGGCCATAGATGAGTTCAGGCCCTGCACAGGAAGGTAGAGTTAGGCCAAAGCAAAACTCTTACTTCACTCTCTGCTTTAAGCCTTAGTAAACTAATGGCAGGTAAAATCAGATAATGCCCATGTGTTTTGAAAGATTTATGTAAGACTGTCATATCGAAATGTATGTGGGAACTACATTAAAACTTTTATCAGAAAACAAGCAAACACCCTAAGCCTGGCATTGCATTTTTTTTTATGCTGGGCAGTGGCTGCTAGAAGGGAGCTCGCTGATGACCAGGTTTGCCTTCTTACAACAGTCTTCCCCTTGTACCACCCTCCTGCTGCATCTTTGCTCTTAGCCCTGTTGTTAACACGGGTGTTTTTAGCAATTACTTGCTGCTGACTGCTGTGGGCACAGCCTTTCAAATTTTCCAGGAAGGAAAAAGATACTGAAGAGTGCAATAAAGTTGAGCACATCTGATGGGGAAAATGTTGCAAGAATGGTGGTGTTACTAAAACCAAAAGCAAACCTCTTACCCATAAAAGTAAAAATAAGGTTACACCCACAGGAAATACAGACATTACGGTAAGAAAATGCATAGTTACATCTTTCTGTAGTCCAGTGCCTGATGCACGACTTCAGAGAAGACAGGGCAGGGAAAGATCTAAATAAACTAAACCTCAGCAGTCCTCTGAAACCAGGCTGGGCAGATGTCCAAACTGTTAGAAGCCTGCAAGAATAAAAACCACTTCCAACTCGGCAATGACTCCTCCGTGTTCCCAGTCACTGAGGTGTCAATCGGTTCCATCGCTTGGGTATTGCTGCCATTCATCTATCCTGACGCGTCCCGTTCTGCAGTTTGACTGGCCTCTTGTTCTCCCAGTGAGTGTAGAAAATGGTTTATTTCCTTTCTAGAAACATGTTACGTATTTGAAAATTTATCATGTTCCCCCATAATCTTCTCTAGTTTTAGGAATTCCAATTCTGATAATTGCCATAACTTGTCATGCAAGATTTCATTAAACTGACTTTTCACTGTGCAATTTTCTCCCCTTGTTCTTTGGTCTTTCTGTGCAATGACTTGCTTAAACTGAACTCCAGAGTCTGCTACGCAAGTAGCAGATAAATTCAGACAGAATGTCATAAAGGTTTTTTTAAATTTCCAGTTAGCGCTGAGCAGCAGAGGTGCTAATAGAGAACTGCTAGACTAGACTCTTATTAAAGTCAATCTTAATTCCTGTCTGCTAGGTTATGGTACAAGGTATCCTGCAAAGAAATGCTCAGAGTTAATTTCTGTAAATAAAAGTGTCTGATTTAAAGAGTACTCAGAGTTCCCTTTTGACTACCTCCCTTTCAGGGGCTTAAAGATACAAAAGCTGTATTTTTCATCAAGACCACTGGTAATTCTGTTGCTGGGGGTAGGCAGTGAATGCCTTTTCTAAGGATATCTGTGAATTCGGGCCATTCCTGGCTGAATTCTGGTAGCCTGCCTTCAGCTTCGAATGAAACTGAGGCAAAGCGAAGTAGGGATGTTGTGTTTGTTCTCCTACAGCCAAGACTCCAGCTGGAGCCCAGTGCTGCCGGTAGCGGTGAGCCGAGCAGGCCGTGCCAAGCCTCGGCCTGTACCAGTTATACACACGGGAAATGCTTTTTCCGTTGGCTGCTGGAAAGTAGCTCTCTAACTGTAGTCCATTTGCAGACAAAATTCCTGCTCTGGAGAGTTGAGAGCTGTGGGTTTAGATGCAGATAGATCTGTTGGGCAAGGCCATACAAAACGCTCCCGAAAGAGGGGAGGATAGGGAAGTGTTTTGAATGTGACTTGCTGATGGGTGAAAAGTTTCAGAGGTAGAAGGGAACTAAGTTATTTGCAGCTTGTAGTACGATAGCAAGTCACTGCCCGCATTTAACAGTTAAGGGAATTAATGCTCTCTATTAGCTGATTGGTTTGTGGCCAGTCTGCAGTTAGGCATAAAATAGCGGGAGTCAAGTTAGATGTTCTGAGAGTAACGTTACTTACCTAGATTGATTTATACGCGGCTTTCTGTGGAACCTGCCTGTTACAGTAAGATATATCTTACAGTATGAGTTCTCTAATGAGCACTAATTGCCTAGGAAGTCTCCTAAAGCATTCTGAAGCCCGAGGACAGGCTTCTGAAGAACAAAGGACAGCAGCAGTGTGCCAGTCCCGAGGGGGAACTGCAGTCTATAGGGAAGGCAAGTTAAGAGCTGCACAAAACCAGGTGCCGGGTCTGGCAGCTCCAGGCTGTGTATCCGCTGCAGGCGAGGAGGGAGGTGGGAAGGAGCCACTCACTCCTCTGGAAGCAGTGGTATGGATTCACTGCGTGTAACGCATTCAGAAGAGCTTACAGCTGCTTAAAGCCCAGAATGCTGCCCATTACTTAATGGTGTAGAGTCTGATCCTCTCCATCTCATTCTAAAACTGACACTTGAGCCATCTCTGAGCGGAAGATGCCTGACGTGCCCCTGCAGCAGCTCTGCTGTGCCCAAGCCAGGGGCTGAGCCGCAGCTCCCTGCCCCCGTCTCCTCTCCCTGCTTGGCCGGGAAATGCCAAAATCAGCAGCTCCCTCCTGGGATCACACCTCCAGCTGCTTTGAGCGCCTCTCCCAGAAAAGAGGTGCCGTGGGGGAACGCGCAAATGGAGTATTTAATTCCCTTTTCACATGAAGGGGCGAGTAGACAGGTGAGAGACAGCTTGAGCTGTCAGTCCGGGTAGGGACTTCTGTTCAGCTGTTGGAGTTATTTCAGTGCTGGAGAGTAGTGGAAGAGCTTGGCTAGAAGGGATTCTGCTGAGAAAGCATGGTTGTGAGTCCTTGGCTGTTTTTTATTCGCAAACTGAGAACAACTGGAAAAATGGATACGTACACTACAGCCCAAGCGTGTCACAACATCCTTGTTATTTCAGAAGGACAAGATGGAAATACAAGCGTAGCAATGTTCATAAAACACAGAATTACAACAGAGTCCTTAAAAATCCATACAAAATAATCCACGGACTATTTAGTTACAGCCACTACACAAACCAAAGGCCACAAAACACCCAAACCCCCCAAACGATCCCCAAGCAAACATCACTGAAAAGTTCAAGGATGGGAGCTACCAGAAGTGTTGCTTCGGTTCAGACACCGAGCCGCACGCTCTGAAAGCACCTTAAGGGCCACGGATTAGGCGTGAGCTGAAAACACGGAACACAGCTGCGCTCCCACGGGATTTCGAAGGGCACGCTCGAGCACCCGCCAGCGGGAAACGGCGGCAGGAGGCTGCTGGCGCGGGGAAGGCAGCGGCAGCTCCGCTCGGGGGAGCAGCGCTCGC